CCATATCTTTTCAAGTGAACATATGCCTATCTTTATGTTGGAAGTGGCCATTTCTAAATACAAGTTCATGCTGTTTACATAGTTGAATCAATCTTCATTTGAATTTTCCACCTCTTCTCCAGGTTGTCCAATGACTTTTGGGCTCTCAGATTTTCCCACTCTAGCATTAAAAAATCACCCAATTCGATAAGTTCTCTATTTGTATTGAGAGGCAAGCTGCTGGCAAGCTCTATATTATGTTGTCCCACATTCACTGATTATTCCATCTATTTTTGAGTAAAATTCTTATAAAATAATATCTTCATTCACTGCACACACTTCAATAATAGTCAATTTGCATCTAAAATTTTCCAAATTTACATTAATCAGCCTCGCATCTATGCCTTCCCAACTTTTAATATGGTTTCTGAATTTATTTTTTATGACTATGGAAATTCCTTTACTACCCCTCTGATCTTTTGGTTCTCCTATGATCATAGGATCCAATCTCTTCAATACCTGAGGCCTTTCTCTTTGTCTCACTAAAACTTACAATATCCATATTTAAATCTTGACGTTCCTTTATTACCTCCTGTATCTTATTTCCCAAACCTTGAGTATTCCATGCTCCAATATTCATTATCCATTTCCTTTGCCTAGTTTGTCTCCGATTACCGTCCGTTTTCTCATGATTAGGCCTTTTAGCATTTTGTAGTTTTTACATGGACGACGAGGAGCTGGCCCATCGTCCCAACCCTCTACCAGGAGGACCAGGACTTTTTTTTAGGGTTAACTCCCCTACGAGGATGTTTTACTGAGCTTTTGAGCTACTCCTGTCCAAATCTCCTTTGGAATTTCTTTGCTCCGCGGGCGAGATCATACCCGTACCCTTCATCTCTTGGTAGAAATGTAGGCTAAGATTTATGCCTAAATCTTCGTCGTTTTGAGATCCTCTTCAGCACATTGTACCGGATTTTCACTTTTTGTGCCCCCGCCCTCTTCTAGAGTATTTCTTTGTCTGACCCCTCCCCTTTGACCAGTCCGGCAAGGGAGGCCCTATCTGTAGCTACGCTACTGCTGGCATAGCTTTCAGGATCACAGGGATACTCAAGCACCACCACCACCATCAAGTTCGTGTACTCCCTAGGTGAAGATACAGATATTTGAACACACACAGATCTCTCAGATATTTGAACTCAATAATTTACATACTTTGTTGGCCATCTTTTAGCACACATAGGGGCTTATATTCACTGCCCTATCCATTCAGAGGCTTGCTGGGCAATTTGGAGAACTTCTTTGCCATGTTATCCATTCTTTAAACAATCTTGTCATAAGCTACTGTAGAGTAGTGATAGCTAGTAACATAATAGTTTTTGAAAAATCTCAACTGGGTTAGTTTCTGAGTTTTCATTCCATATTGAGCTTTAACATTGCAATTATAACATTCATTCAATTCTTGACAAAGTGGTGTAAAGATCTGTCCAGCAAGAAATAACTTTCATTTCCTGATAGACATTGTCTATGGTTGTCTCTTACTTCAATGTATTGTTATTTCTATAGTATCCAGTTTATAATCTGTAACTTGCCTGGGCCTTTTTGAAGATATTGTGCCCAGGGGCACAAACACATCATAATTTGTGAGAATTTTCTTCAGTAAGGAGGAAGAGATTAAAAAATTCATGATGAAGGCCTTGCAAATTGTAATTGTCAGCAAATTGTAATTGTCACATTTCAACACATAAAAGAAGTGATTCTGTGAAATAAAATCCTTTTCTAAATGAACATTTTTATGGAAAACATTGGAAAGTCACTTGTGAGTACAGGAGTATGCAATATTAAAAATTACCATTTTTAAGACCATATAGGAATCTATTATATCTATATACCTAAATGAGAATATTTTGCCTTGTTCATGATTTAAGTCAAAAGTTTCTTCTTCTTTGCTGGTGAGAGTTTAGGTTTCTCTAATGGACAACAATTGTCTCATAACCAAATTCATTAAGATATCTTTAAAAGTTTCTGAAAGTATTCTGAATATCAGCATTGTTCATCATCATTGAAAAATGTTTGATGGACATGTTCCGTTTCACAATACAATGTTCAACTTGTGCGAACAAACAAAACGGATAGATTTGATAGAATATTACATTATGTTGCACATTTTGGGGCAAGGCAAGTTACTTCAACAATTTATGTAAATGTCATTGTCACCTTTAATTATCTCACAAAGTTAATTATTGCTTGTAACTTTGATATAAAAATGTTTCAATATACTGTGTTCTTTAACATGATGATACTTCCATATAAAAAACTAAAAATTCCTAATTCACTGGCTACTGAATAGATGTCTCATTCAGTGTTTATATTATTCACCTGCACAACAAATCAAACCAAATACAGAGGTTTAAAAAAACGCTATTATTAAACCACACTCCAACTTTAAGCAAGTTTGAAATACTTTTTAAGGCAAACAGAAAAAAGTTTTATAATTGTCTAGAATCCCAAGTTAACGATGATAATTTCAGAATTACTTCAAAAAATGCTTATGCAAAATGTTATTAACCCGTAACTACAAGCATACGGCCAGGGAGAAAAAATTTTCAGGGTTATATTTCTACCATTTCCTGCTGTGGCAATACTGTCGTTCTCACTATCTTCATTTCTCATCACTTCTGAACAGTCACGACTACCAGTTTCCTGTTTGAATTCCACTGGAGAGGTTCATAACACTCAGAACTTTTGAAGCGGTCTCATAGACTGCATGTCTGTGTTAATGGTATCAATTAGCCCTATGTTAGAAACCCCCATTTTCGACAACAGTATTTTTGTATCCAGTTCATTTTACTTCTCAGCAATCTGTTGTGTATTTTAATTATGTAAAAAAAAAAAAAAAAAAAAAAAAAAAAAAAAAAAATGCGGTGTTTTAAATCAATGCCTTTTTAAGAATTGAAAAGAAGAGTAAGATAATGTTTATACACAAAGCTGAAACTGCAATTGTTTAAATTTGAGTTATTTGCGATGCAAAAAGCCATAATAGAATCTTTTTTTCTATTTGCATTAAATAAAAAATAACTTATCTAATAGGAAATAGTCCCTTTAACAATATTTAATTGTTAAATTTTGAAAAGAATTAATTGATTTACACCAATATCTCTCTGGACCACGTGCCTGTAACGAGAATTCAATGCCTGTAACAGAATTCAGAAGTTACGGGTTAATCAGCATTATTCTTCATGAGATACGAATAAACTTAAGGCAGAAAATTTTAAAGCAAATTATTGAAGTGTGTTCTTTTTGTTTGTTTACAATTAATAAGTATGTCTTTAGAGTGAAGTCTCTAGGCTCCTTCATTTACATTTTTAACTAACTTCCTTTTCATTAAAGTTTTTAACATTAAAAACTTTCCATATCTGCACTGTGACCAGGAATACTAAAGAACTTGTAATTTGTAGAATTGAAAATAGCTAGTATTATATGTTCTTACACTATGTTTTAAAATGTTTCAAATTCTGTTTCTTTAATAGTAATAAATTATGTTTCATTGTATTAATTAGAGGCTTCACACAGAAAAGTCCCTATTCCTGATTCACACATTTCATTGAATCGGAAAATTGAAAATCTTATACTACATACTTCTTCATACAAACTCTAAACATTACTAGTAAATTTGAAGCATTGTTGTTACTGTATTCACAAGTGAAATCGTCCAAACCCATTCATTACCAGTTATTAGTTACCAGTTCTTCACAAAGAACTTTATGTACAATTTAATTTTAAACTTGACCATTAGTTCAATATGAACTAGGTAAGCATGTAAAAACCTTTAAATGACTGCAACCACCATTAAACAAGCAATAATATTAAACATTCTTTCTTGTCAAGTGTGTATTCAAGGCAAGATCTCAATAAGTGGCAGCATAAAAACTACATTACAAACTCTCCAAAACTGGCAAAGCTTAGAACACAGAACATTGTCAGACTTATTTCCAATAAATAATTGTAATTTGCAATCCCAGTGTCAGATAATACAATAATGCAAAACAATTATTGACACATCCAATGCATCTATACAATGCAAAAGAAATGAAAAAAGCAAAGATGCAAGGACAAACACAATTTCAAATATGGGAAGAATGTCTGAGCATACGTTCACAAGCTATGAAACAATATACAATCATCACAAATCCAGAACCAAAAAACAAAACAAAAAAAAAATTGTGCAACAGCAACAAACATCACCAACACAGAGTATAGTGAGTTCTCCAATTTGAGCAAAAACAATAAATTATAACAAGCAAGATTTCACTGAAGAAATACAACGAACTTAAAATTTGATTGCCTCAATCAGATGTAAGATAGAACACATTATCATATCTTGAGTGTTGAGATCCATACAATAAAAACATTAGAAAGCCATGCCATTCACAAATCTTGGAAACACACAGATGCAATTCTTTAATAGTTAGGGAAATCATTATGCCTTGTTTAAAAATATAATGCACAAACCGCATGTATTTAAATATGAGAATAAATAAGAATCGGAATGGGTATCAAACAAATGTCAGTAATTTCAATAATTATTAATTGAATATTTACGAATATTTTAGTTTGAAATTATTTTAAAATGCAAAAATGTTCTTTACATTTCATGTATTTAAGAATAAATATGCAACTTTTAATGCCTGTATTCAGTTTACTGCACTTAATGAATCCTGCACATTATTAATAAATAACTCATTCATTCTCCAATTAAAATAAGTATGTCATTGACACTTTTACAAAACGACAAACTGTGGTGCACAAGTGTCTGACTGAAGTCACTGTCACACCTGTTCAAGCACGAGTTTTTAAATGTCAATCTCAAACTAATTTTAATCAGACTAATTTAACCAGTCCATCAAAGAAAAATAAATTACAAAAATTATGTAAAATGCGATTCAAGTCGAACAACTCTTAATTATTAAGAAAAACCTTCCGCATAATTTTAGTTTGAAAATTAAAATTTCTTTAACACATACCTCTTGTTTTTCTAATTTATTTTGATCTTCGATTCTAGTGAGGATTTCTGTCATGTTAGTTTCCAATACCATTCCTCCCATAACAAGTTCATTTAGAATATAGTGAACCTGTTGTAGTCACAAACTGCATGAATACTTTTATAAGACATTTCACAAAATTATTTAGGATAGACCATGAATTACCTTATCAACATGAAAGATGAGATCAAGTTCACAGACATTTTCAAAACATTTATCAAGAGTTTCAACAAAAACTTGAATAAGATCTAGAATGCCAAGTTCTGATTCTGAAGAGTCGACACAAAACACAAAGTAGAGTGTAGCATAATGTCTATATATTAACTTGTAATCTGAACCACCAATCAAACTGAAACAAGAGGACCAGTTACAAAGGCCACACTTCAATTTTTGGGGAAAAAAAGTGCAACATGTAATGGAACATGAACAAACCTTCCGCCTTCCAAAAAATTGCAAACATTGTCATCTCTCTTGGACACAAGTTGAAAAGTCTCTTTAATAATCTGTTGTTGCATGTCTTCATTCTGTAATTTAGAAGCAGCATTCAAAGACCAAATTAATTTAATGTTGGAGATCCTAACTAAAAACTCGGACAGAATAAAATGAATTTTAAGGTGCAACTGAAAGATGAGCCCAAATAAATCTGAACATTATTTTAATGAAAGCAAGGCTCAAATCATAAACATTACTTTTATCTTCTAACCCATTTATATCAACTTACAAAGTACTGGTAGAACTTTGACATTCTTGGTTTCCCATGGTTATTAAAAACCAATATTGCCTTAATCATTTTTAATAAACGTTTGTACCAAAAATGTACAGAATAAAAACGATCTATGTCAAACGCCCTGAGCACCACATGATCCCGCCGCGAATCTCCAGAGCTCCGCTTCGGTTCATCTGACTTCAAGTCACGTGATTCATTTGTCTTGTAATTCGCGCGAAATTTAAAGAAGACATCTCAATAAAAAAAAGCATAATTATAGCATTCTTTTAGGCGAAATTTCGGATTGTAATTTCTAAGTGTCCATGCCATTGTATCAATTGTGCTGAGATCTTTAGTACAGAAATTAGACTTTCGTCTTTGGGATCGTAGTTCAAATATAAGTCAATCCATAATAGTGGAATTGAGAGATGAACAGAAGAGTTCGAAGAAAGATATATCGGGATTATTCAGATTCTGTTTGTTTGTAATTCACTATAATGTCGTAATAACTCATCCATTATTACAATTCCGTCATCAATCGCAATAGGTTTGAATAAAATACCTGATCAACGGCTCCCCTAACATCTCTCGGCCAATATCGGCACCCGTTATCCTAGCATGACAACCCTACCCAAAATAAAATGAAGATGATAACTAACATAGAAAAAGTAATAAAATTGAATTTATGGGAACTATGCATTCAATGAGAGTATTACTTGCTTGGAATACAAAATCAACCGCATGTGGGAAATCCTGCTGTTACAGCGACGTGTTAACTCAATGTTCATGTGGGCAGTTCTACGTGACCTTCACACCAGGCGTGTCCCGCCCCTTTGTCCTTGGTTGGCGCCATTCACCCTACCCCTCCCACTCAACCCTCTCATCATGACCACGCTGATTCAACACACAATTTCCCCAATCATTTGAACTTCCATACTATCTCTTTATCTTTTTCGAATTCGTTCACTTACTACTTGTAGACAATCATTTAAATATGGACCGAAGAATACTTGGATACGCGAAACGGATATAACTTTTTGATCAATCGCCGCTAAATTGCGCAAGCTACTTTCTAGACCACGTGCCGCACCTCTGATTCGTTGTCCAGTTTGGCATTGAGCATTTAGAGGGTTCCTGTTCATAAAATTCCGCTCCTTTTTCACGCTGCCTCGATTTAGCCTTTCTATCCCAGGCGGATATAAATACTGTGGGTGGCACGGTCGGTAAAGTTGTTTGACAAGTGCAGTAATAAGGGAACTTCTTGCTCCGAGACAATGCAGATTCTGGTAAAGTTGAAACAATATCGTAATATTTTCACAATAGTGTTAAATAGATATATTGATATTTGATAGTTTCAGTGCTTTCTGAAATTTTCAGAGTAGATGCGGGAGGCTAAGGTGTAATTTGAGTGTATTTGTAGAAATATTCTAAAAGTGTGAGACAACTATATGGATATTTTGATTGAAAAAGAAGTTTACGGATAAAAGGTTTAAGGACACCTTTTATAGAAAATGTGATTTGAAGAAAATATGTTTATTGGTCTGTGAGTGTAAACGACCGGTTTCTGCACGTTTATTGGATTATTTCCAAACTTCTTGTTTTTGTTATACCAACGAGTTCCCTTGTGTATTTAATGAAATTATATAATCAATTACTTGAAACCCATTTTCGAAACTAGAAAACGTTAAAATAAGGTTTTCATTTTGCAAGTTAAGGTCATCATTTTTTAGAAATGTTAAAATTCAATTTGACATTATAACTTTAAAATTTAATATTATCATTTATTTTACATTTCCATACTATCATTTTAAGTTCGTACTTTTGAAAATTATAAATGTGGAGTATTTATTTATTGAATGAAACCTGTGAATCCAAAATCAGTTTCGTTGGGATGGACAAGTGCAGAATTTCTACTGTGGATTTCTTGCTACGAAGAATTTTGTTGTGAAATTGCGTATGGTGTAGCTACTAATTATCCTTATTGACCAATACTGTCAAATTTTAATAACCAGAAGAAAGAAGCAGGGTAAGTTTACACAATAATGCTGAATAGAAGACAACAAAATGTAAGCACTTAGAAACTATTACAGCAAAGCAGTAACACCGAAGGAGGGGTGTACCTCAGTATCCCCTCAGAACCGGCATACCGGCGGGAATGAGGCCAACATGTCATAGAACATAGAAATGAACTGACGTCGATAATATCGTGTATCAGAGTCGGATCTACGATAGTAGTCAGGAGAGGGAACTTTTTTTAAAAGTGAAATCTTCAGATTTCCTCTCCCCCCCAATCAGAACCTCGACAACTCAAATTTAGTGATATTTAGACATTTCTTCGTCTCCCTTACTTTCCCAATACACTCGAAATTCGTCTGCTTAAGCATAATTAGATGCAATAAATCGATTTTCAATTTGCTCTTTAAGATTTTAAGTTACAGAGATCCATAGTAACAAAATATGCAAACGTCATTTACGTTCATACCATATAGTTTCATGAAACTCGTCATTGCAAGCACCTGATGCTTTCAAGTAGTTATTATGATTTGTTGTTTTCTTAAAATTTGCTGTTTATTTGATGAGGAAATTTTCTCGATTCCTCCTCCTGACAGAGCCGTCTGCACCCATGCAACTCGTTGACTTCGTTACTTCGGGAAGAGGAGCTGTTTGTCAGCTATGAGTAAACCATGCTCTGTTGATACACTCATTTCATTTCATTAACCCTTACAACACCTTCTAGCGACGGAAGTTATCGTCACAAGAAGGGGTCATACGCATAGATAAATGTTCTAAAAATCTAGCAAATAATGAAAAACAGTTGCATGCTTCTATGTTAATTTTATTTTTATTCACTTCAATTTCATTTAAAACTGTGATATTCAAATCCGATAGTTCAACTTAAACAGATAAAGGCTTTCAATAGAATAATAATAATTAAAATGGTTGTTTAATAAGTCTTGCCTTGAATGTCTTAAATTTTTGAAATATTCAAGGTAATATTATACTCTTTATCTAATAATTCAGAAGAAGTTAATGAAAACATACCAATTTCTTAATAGAAAATATATTTTTAATAAATCGCAAAATTCTACTAATTCAATTTTTCTACAACGTAAATAACAATTTTATCTCTACTATTCACCATTTCTGTAAATGGAGATTAAATAAATGTATTAAATTAAAACAATTACTATTAAATATATTTGTCGTATTTTATACTTATAATTAGCCCAGTCAAATTAGACAAATCGAGTGAAAATACCTGGAGTTTTGAAATTCGGCACGATTGTTTGTTGGTACTTACTGCATAACATACTAAAAATCCTGAAGTGGGGGGAGAAGGTGCTTTTGAAGGTGCGTTCGAAGGTGCTTTTTCTAAGTTTTTTGCAAATATCTTCATAACTAACAATCCCACAGAAAATTATAGTCTATATGATCTTAAAGTTGATACAATTTCTTACAAAAAAGTGTTTTTTTAAGTTTCGTTGTAAAATTAACCATTTTAGAGTTATAGGCTTCAAAATTTCTGGTTTTTGTTTACGACAAGGCCCTAGTTATCTCCTTTAAAGAAATATTTTGATAAGTTCAGTACAAGGAAGTAATTTTATATTTATTCAACATTTGTCAACAATATGTATTTACATATTTTGCGCAAAAAACAGAAATATGGTCATTGGGGTCCGAGATTACCTCGCATACGAAAACTGATAATCCATAATTTATTTGATAAGGATCGAGTACAAATATTTGGTAAAGAATTGTGTACACTATCAACACAAATTACGTAAAACAATATAAATACAAATGTCCCGATGCAGTCATTAGGAAAACAGTACAACTCATTGCAAAACTGTCGAAGCCGTTAGTGATTTTAGGAATGTTGGGGTATCCCCCAATTCATTTAACATTGGATACCATCGCCAAACATTGACGTTCATGTTGTTCGTCATTGTCACTTTCAGTTTTAATTGTCCCTCAATGTTCACGGTAAACTTGATTATTCCATTTGTATTGTTTTATAATTTGTATGTTGGCAGTCTACACAATTCTTTTTTTCCTTCGGGAATCCTTTCCTTTTTTCTTTCAGTTTTTTTCTATCGCCATTTTTGGCCTAATTTGACTGGGCTAAATAAGATAATTGGACATTGTCATTGTTTTTTCCTCAAAAATTACATATCAACCACTTTTAGATATAAAAAAAGTTGAACAGTTCGGTTAAATTTAAAAGCGCAGCACTTACAACTATCAGCCATGTTGGCTTGGTCCTCAAATCTGTAGAATGGCGGCTTACTTAGACGAGACACTTAGCGTGCTATTGCCTCTCCAGCAAAATGTAGATTTGTAATAGCCCACTGCCATTATAGGGAATTCGCACGCAGCGGAGCGTGGACTGCGGAGCGTGCACCGCTTTTGGGGCGTCTAATACATGTCGCGCCTAATACTTGGCGCTGTAGTCGTCACGTCAAAGGGGACGAATTGACAATGAGGGAGCCGTCACCCCCTTCAGAAGTTTTTGTGGGAAAGTATTCATGTACCCCTGCCAGGAGGCGCTCAATTTCTTAGCACTTCATTTATGATTTCTGCAGTTTTCAATTTTAAAACTAAGGAAATTGAAAAAACAAATTTCCTGAAATCATTTTTAGGATTTATTGACTTTACCGCTGCGAAAGCGAAAATGTTCATTGGTTAACTTGTCATTTCGAACAGTTGTGTCTCGCTCTTAGTGGTTGATTGATAACTGTACACGTAGGCTTCCGCGGCTCGAGTCCATTACTTCTAGGCTGT